TTCAGTATTCAAAAACGAGTTTGACCCCCTGCATTATAGGGATTTTTAATGATCACAGAGAGTCAGGACCTCGGTTTTGCATCTCATCCGAAGGATGGCACCTTTTTACAGTATCCCCATCACTATACTGGAGCATCAGGACCCACACTGACCGCAGGGTGAGCGCCCCCTACTGGCCCCACTAACACCTCTTCCAGCAGCGACCTTAGCTTTCCCAGGAGATCTCCTATCCAGGTACTGGCAGGTCTTCGAATCTCTGGTCCAGTCTGTATGCCAGGGTATCAGCTATAGCGATGTGGTGCGATGCCTTGCTCCACACTCCTGCACCCCTTTGTGTAAAGAACTACCTCCCTTAATCAGACTTGAGCACAGTTTCCCAATAGTTTTAATTTGTTGTCCTGCAGATGATATTTTACACTGTTATTTCCTTAGTCCATTAATGCACAAACCACTGACAAAGGCCTCTGTCAGTGCCTTTGAGTATTGTGGATGCTTTGATCAGGTCCCCCATCAGACTTCTCTGTTAAAAACAAAAGTTGCACTATATTACTCCTTTCCAAGTCGGACATTCTTATGAGGCAAGGGGTGTATCCAATCGGTCTTTTCTGAACTGATTCTGGAACAGCAGTATATTTTTTGTGTAACATCACCAAAGACTTGATATCCTTAAAACTCAACGATCCTATAACACTACAGATTTAAGTATTTTTCTTAACATAATGTTTGCCATTGTATCAATATTTCAGGTCGGTAGCTGCGTCAGCATGCGTAGTCTGCAAAGTAAAAAGTAACAGCTATATTTCCATGCTGAAAAGAGAAGAGAGAAAACACAACGTTTCGGCTGTAGAGTCTTCTCTGCGCTCACACCTGAAGAAGGCTTCACAGCCGAAACATTGTGTTTTCTCTATTCAGCATGGAATAAAGCTATTACTAGTTCCTTTGCATTATTATATTATTATTATTCCTGGTTTCCAGGCATGAGTCTGCTAATTAATTGAGTGAAAGAGGGGGGCAGAATGACAACATTTTGAGCGTGGCGGACTTTACAAAGGTTTTCTGCTGCAGAGTGAACTCTGACTCGACGAAAATGCAGCGTCACTCGTGAACTCCCCGTGGAAACGCTGTCCTGCCAGATACATGATATTAAACCCGCTCCATTTTTAAAACGGCGGCGGGTTACTCTTGTGTGTGTATGTGTGTGTTTGAAGTCCTGCAACGATCGATGCAACGATTTCGCTCACATACGAAAGGGAGGTTTCAGAAATACCCTGATATTCCCTCGTGGTCCGCAGTCGCCTTCCTTCGTCAAATACAGGTGAAGAAAACCAGCCCGCTAAGCGTGGTTTCCGTTTGTGTTTTTTAGTTCCCTTTTAATCACCAACTAAAGGGTCGACACTCTCCCCCCCCCCTACCCTTCGGCTAAGGTGACTTTGAAAATGTGCAGCGACGCAACACGGGTGTACAATCGAGGGATTATAAATAAAAACCCGCAAAGGCGGATCTGCGTTTCTGAATTGTGCCCCCCCCAAATAAAATGAAACGAAGCGACCGCTAGCAGCTTTTTTCGCCGTTGCAGAATATGTCTTTTTCTGTGACTCCGGCGGTTCTTTCTCTTTCTCTTTTCCCCGATAAGCAACAGAGGCGGGAGGAGGTGTCTCCCGCAACCCCCCCAACCACTCTCTTCTCCTCTCCCGGTCTTTTGGGAACAGAAGGAAAAAAAAACATAAGGGGGGAGTGAGAGAGAGAGAGAGAGGGAGAGAGATAAGTGGGGGAGGGATATGGGGGGGGTCTGGATTTTATATGAGCGGAAAAGGCGTCATTTTCAGAGCAGAAAATAGTGGGACGAGTCTTACGGAGGGACGGGGGGTTGGAGCGGAGATAAGGGGACCCATAAAAGCGGCGTAACAACAACAAGAAGAGGAAAAGCATTTTTCTCCCCCTCTCTTTTTTTTATTTTTTGTTTCAAAAAAAAAAGCCCCGTACTTATTTTCGAACCCGCGGGGAGGCGTAAAGACGCGGCGTGGGCGAGCGTCTTTAAAACGAGAGCTTTCCGCGAATGGCATCATTATTAATTCATATCCGAATACGCGCTTTAAAGGGGACCGAGCGACCGGCGGCTTGACTCCTCGGGCTCAGGAGGGAGCGGGCTTTTGAGCCGAGCCGCCCGCGTTGTATGTTTGCCGCACAGCCCGAGCGATGCGGCGGCGCGGCTGCGAGAGACTCGTCCGCCGAGGAAATAACCGAGCGCCGGCGAAGCCAGACGGCAGCCTCGTCAACGTTTTTTCCTCCACCGCGATCTCAAGACCCGCTCCTCATCTGCAATGAATCTCTAATCCACCCAACACAGGCGATGGGTAAGTGTGTGTGTGTGTTTTGTTTTGGAGGGGGTGTGTGTTGTGTGTGTGTGTACCCCCTGCTGTTTGCTCTTGATGTGTGGGTGTGTATATCCGTTTATACAAGAGAATGGTGGAGGTGCTGGGGGAGACGGAGCCCCCTTTCATCGGCGTAGCTAGCACAGCCAGGAGTTCCGAAGGCATCTTGCTTGAAAGTCTGGCGATGGTTATTTTCGAGTAAATTGGACGATGTTACGGGGGTGTGTGTGTGTGGGGGGGGGTGAATATTAAAATGAAGGAAGCTCAGGCGAAAAGGGCACGTGCACTGCAAGTCCGTGGCTCACAAAATGTTACCTTCCCCGGTGACATGATGGGGATTTTAAGCCATAGCTGCTGAAGGCTGGCTGGGGGGGGTTATATTATTACGCATTTTGTAACACTGTGCGCGGAGGTTGGGTATCTCTGCTTCTGTGCCTTTTTTTTCCTCCTCTGTGTTCTACATCTGGACGCGTTCCAGATCATTCTTGGCTCTGCAGACCCGCTGTGCCAGAGCTGGGGACGAGAAATCTCTAGGAAAAGCCTTTTTATTGGCAAAACGCAACAACAACAACCCCCAAAAAAAAAACCGCGGTTCTGCATCCGTCCCCTCCTGGTCTGCGTTATAGGAACACCGTAGTAGCGGTTACAAAATGTAAGCACTTCCTCTAGTGTACCAGCAAAATAGAAGCGATTTTCGTGACCAAAACCTTTGTTTTTGGGGGCCAGAGCGCTTCGCCAGAAGGTAGCGAACTGTTGTCGTCGGTAAGACTGCACCTGGGGGATGATGCGCACGGCTCTTCCTCTCATTTACTGTATGTGCTGTCGTGGTTGGACCTAAAATGTCCACAGCATTAGCTGCGCTGTGGTGTGTTACTTAGGGATGTCATGCCGGTTACGCAGATGAGAGGCCTCGGTAATGTAACAGTTTTCGAATTGCAAGGCTGTCGACGCCTCTTTCATCCCCCCCAGTGTTGTGGCAAACCACGACGCGTTTGGTATCAGGTGCTGGCTCCTTGATTTAAAACGCTACGCAGTGTCTTTTATCTCACAATTATGTTTATGCGAGACAAATGGACTTTTTATGGAGAAAATAGGGCATCAAAATATGAGCCAAAGTTCTTCCATCCACCCCATATGGTAATATAGGCCTGCTTTGCTGATACCTTGTGTAATGTAGCTTTACGTCTGCTGTGAGCTAGAAAACATCGTCTCTGGTTACTTTCAAAACCAAAACTTCGGTTTTAAACTTGGATGGAGGTTTGTGTGCCGTGACTTCTGCTGTTTTAACTCCTCGTTTGCTCTTGTCATGCGTGTGAGGCACCCAAATTCAAGTGGCAGCCCGGGCAGTCGGCAGTCTTTAATTCGGTCTAGCTGTGTCGGGGGCATCTCTGCCTGTTACTGTATCAGTTCCTGGCTTTTACAGCACAAGGCAAGGTCTGTGCTTGTCTGTGTAGGCCCGGCCCGATGCAGACGCAGGGGGAAGTTGGTTTCAAGCGGACGTGTGGGAGTATTCCCTTTTGTGACGTTGGAGCAAATGTGATTCTGCCCCAAAATAACAATATCTGCAGAATTAGAGCCCACTTTCCTTTCAGGGAGCAGATACAGAACAGGCGACGGTGCTGTACATTATTCATCCACCAGGCTTCAGAGAATACAATCGGCATTCTAAATATAATGCTGGAATTTCTGGAGAACAATTGCTGCTGGGGGTGGCATCAAGATAAGTTTCCACTCGCGAGAGAGAAATGAGAGAGAGTTTTTTTTTTTGCCGATTGATTCAGGGATCTTATCACACCCCCTTCTTTTAAAATATTCGAAGGTTTGAGCTTCAGGAACCTGGGCGGTTTCTGGCAGGTGTGGAGGGCTCACTCGTGTGAAGGCTTAATGGCCGTTCCCGGTCCTGTGGGGGTACTCCTTCGGGTTTTCATTCTGACTGTTGGGCTTGAAGAAGACCACCAGGAAGAGGTCCGATACTCTTAACGGCCCTTTGCTAGCGAAGTTCAGACCTCCGAGAAACGCTGCTGTTGTGACTTAAAGAGGGGCTTCAGCTGCTAGAGTTGTGGCCCCCATAGAATACATGTGGGAGCAGCTCGACGGAGAAAGACTGTCGTGCGTCTCTCTCGAGCGCGCTGCTCCAAACCCCTGGTGGATAAGGCCCAGGGCATGCATTTGTTTGCAAAGGCAAGCTGTTGGTCGGTGCCTGTGTGGGTGAGCACAACCTCGCACGAGCATCGTGCTCCTGGGTGCAGTCCTGCCTTGTGTCCTGTGGGTCTGGGAGAGGCTCCAGGTTGGCGTGACTCACCCCAGGATTCGGAACGAATGGGTAGGTTGAGCTGCGAGTGTCCGTCTGAGCCAAGCTTGTCTCTGTGGCCTTCCATTTTCTCAATGACTCTGCGTGTGACTGTTAGGAGAACAAATCTGCCGGATTTATGCAGAAGCCCAATTATTTCAGACATGCCTGAGCGGTGTTGCACTGTATTCCACAGCTCCATGTCTATTTCTGTTCTTGTCTTGACTATTTCACAACATGTGTTGCCAGCGAGTGGGAGCAACAGAAGAATTATTTCTAAAAGGCACAATCTCCTCCTCCAACCTCACACGGCGATGTACAGCTACCGAAAAGAGAAGTGGAATACAGGCTCGTCAACATAAAATGATTTAACCTTTACAAGCAAAAAGTTCCAATTGCGTAATAAAAGTTATGCCATCTGTTTGCACTAAGTTAACCATTCTGTTCTGTTGTAACCCAATCAGGTCCTATGTCCTGTGTTCTGCAAGCTGAAAGAAATGTTATAAAAGGCTGGGAACCCCTTAGTTTCACTGGCTGGTCTCTGGGGCTGTGTGTGTGTGTGAGAGAGATCTCAGTAAAGTATCTGAGCCTTCGCAAGCCTCTGTCTTCATCTGTTGAAATTCACGTAGATTGCTGCAAATGTGCTGGATAATGGTATTTTACTAATGAGCTACAAAACAGATGTCCACAGCTTTTTCTTTTCAATCTGGAGCATGGCTTGTTAATCAGTAATCAATAAGTAGTTTTAATGCCGGTTTTGGGGGCGGTGGTGGGCGTAGTTGTCGTAGCCCGCAGGTTGCAAGATGGCCGCCCTGAGCAGCGTTTGTGCAAATGTGCCGAGCTGATGAAAGAGCTGGTTTATCTGGCTTGTTAGTAGCTTAATGATCCAAGGAGAGACACTGCTTGAATGGGCCCAGTGATTCAGCATTCATGTCTTGGCAATCTGTCCCAATACGCCCAAGTGCCTCCTGTTCGGAATGTCTTGAGTTTGAAGTACAATCTGTGTTTCTGGTGTAATGTTGCCATATTTAATTATAGGGAAGAAAAAATCTTACAATGGTAATGAGAATATGCTGCATCCTCATTTCACGTTTCCTTGTTACATCTGATTATGCAGCATTTCTGCATCTGCCCCTGATTTTGCAGAACCCTGGCGCTGCTCGGCAGTGAACCTGCAGCGAGCGAGATGGCTTCTGGACTGGTGTGAGTTCCGTGTCTGGTCATGGTGAGGCACGTTGCTAGGGAGAGGAGAGAGCCGTAATAAGCCCTGCTCCAATGTCTGGAACATGCACAGGGCCTCGTGAAGTGTAAATGAGGAATACCAATCTGGTAGTTGTGTAATGGCAGAAAAACACCCCGCGCGAAACGGATCACCTTCATCCACATCCATATCAGCCAGCTTGGGTTTATAGTGTCTGGTGGGTGTGTGGGGGGGGGGGCATTTTAATCTGACAGGGCTCTGCGTACGCAAGACTGAATGAATAAACCACAATGTCAACATTACCCAGCATGCCACCTTCTCCACTGCGCTGCACATGTCCCAGTCGCTCATGCCCTCGCAGCCAGGTTGACTACGAAGCTGAAACAGAAGCCGTCGGCTTGGCGCTGGCCGTTTCCTGGCTGCTCTGCACTTCCTGCTCTCTGTCTCCGCCTCGTTTCACCCTGCTGCCGCTGGAGTGGGTGGAGTGAGCACAGACACAGACGATCCTGGGTCAGAGAGTTTCATACTTGACTTCCTTCGTCCAATCAGGAGCATGAGCCTAATTCTCCCAATCTCGCTAGTGTGCTGTACTCCGTCACCAAGAGGGTGATTTGTACCAGGGCATTCTGCTGTTGTCACATAAACGTATCTGTAAAAAGTTTGCTTGTCTGGATCTTCCAGCGATTTAATCTGGTTCGATCATTTTCCAAACATTTTACCCCCTGGAAGTCAATTGTAAACGACTTATAAGTGTAAATGCTCGCCTCTCAATATGGAGGTGAAATTGCCCTTCGTACCGTATAAGAACTGAAGTGTGTCCTGCAAATGGAGTTTATAAGAGAAGTTCAAGAGGAAGGTCAGATCGTAATCTCGCCGCCTCCTGCTTCCGCCCTGTTAGTGTGTGTGTGTATTTATATACTGTACATCTCTCACCCCCTAAACCTCCCTTTACACATCTCTCTTGCACCTCTGTTTCAGTCCTTGTGAAAGTGAGGAGGGGTTCGGTCAGCCTCATCCTTAAAGACAGGCTGCTGCTCCTTCAGCTAGGAGAGTTACCCCAAACTAGCCCTTAAAACATTCGCCCTCCCCTCACCTTCAGTAGGATCTACCAAAGCTGCTGAATGAGACTTTGGTGCGTAAGTATCTGTTTTCTGCAGTCAAGCTTAAAAATCTCCACAAAGTTACAGTCCACCTTGTGAGGCGCAGAGGATCAGATCTGTACTGGTGCCGCTTGGTTTCTCTGCAAATGTATATTTTCCCAAAAGGCTTTGTAGTTCGTTTGTGTGCCGGAGGCCATCGACTGAATCATTTGAAACGTTTTGGGGGCTCTTGTCAAGGGCGGAAATGGTTGGGTTGATTTATTGGAAGGTGTAGAGGAACCCTGTCATCTTTTGTAGCGCGTAAAAGAGCGCATTAGTGCACCAGCGACGAAAGTCCTCCTGAGCTACTCCTCAATGTCAAAGAGAGTCCGTCTGATGCTCTGTATTAAAG